AAAAGTTGTCAGAAAACCGAAGTCAATGGAGGTGCGCAGCTGAAGCCCTATGTTCCTCTAGGAACTAAAGGATACAATAATAATAATAAGTTCGTATTTAATAATTTGAGCAGATTAGGCTATGTTTAAATGGTATAAATTTAATTATGCGAAGAACTAGGAGAGGGGTTGAGTAGACATTTCCCTTGGACCATGTTCGCAGACTTTTAAAGTGTGAGTTTAAACCCTGATCAAGCTTGTATAGAAAATGTCAAATAAAAAATAATTTTGCGTACTTTTTTGTCATTGAAAAAATGCCCAATACCAAGCTAAACTGTTTGTATTATTGACCGAGAACGCCAAAGACAATTAAAGGGAAACGTTTACAGCCATCAAACCATTATCAGTAAACCAGGCTTTATATAATTATATATATTACGTAGTGTTCACTAAAAAGATATAAGTGAATGTATGCACCACAGAAACATGATGAGGTGACGGGGCCACGCATAAAGCACCGAACTATCATGACTAGTTTTTCTAGATTTTTCTGATGAATTCTGTAAATATCTCAGAAGTATTTTTGCTAAATTTTAATGAAGAGTCGCTTTTAGTGGAATAAACCATGAAGTTCCAGTTACTGTTTTTGGCTCTTTTTATACTTATTCAAGTTCTTTGACTGAATATTGTTTTCTAAATAAGTAAAGATGTTTATTCTCTTGGAGATTCAAACGTATGTACTCCAGTATTACAGGTAAGTAATCAGTAGTGAACCTATTGAACTTACTACTAATTACCAGTTATATACTACTGGCATCAGAGTTTCTTAAGATTTTGGCGGTAAAATTTCCCTTGGTTTAATGTCTGGATAACACTACGATAGGTACAAACGATCAGCATGTTTCTGTTACAAAAAGCGAAGTCGTTTCCTCACAGTCAGCGAATGATAGTTATTATAACATATAGAAAGTTAAAACAGGTAAGGAAATTGGAAATTTTTTACAAGTAAGTTGTAGCTGAACTTAGTCAAATAGGTAGTTACAACTGATAAAGAAGCCTTTCAGAGTGTTCCCTCATTATTAGTTCAAGAGCCCTTACTACTATTAAATTATTATACATTTCTGATAATGTTGGGAAACTGTGATATATTAGTCCGAACTTTCAACTTTTCAACGGTTGGAGATGCATTTGAAAGCTGATTAAACTATCAAGGTTTAGATATTCAGCCAGTATTATGCTTCTTCAACTCATTGTGTAGGATTTAATCAGAAGTGTATGAACGTGAGTGTATTTTCTGGTGAGCTAAGCACTTAAATATTAATTGATATAAAAGGACGGGTGCAGGTTAAAAAACAGTCAATAGTCAGTGGCCTCTAGACAGCCTTTCATGTCTCTTCGGTAATCTTCAGCAGACTACGCTCATAGTCATGCCATGTATTGGACCCAGGACTGATAAAGAAATTGGTGAAAACATTACCGTGTATTGACTGTCTTAAGATCCAATAAAGTGCAGATTGTAAATGGATGAAAATCGCCATAGATATCCATTGTTGAATATACACCCTCACCTTCAAAACAGCAAATCCAAGCGGTAGAAACGTATCATTAAATCAGCAGGAAATCTATTCCAAAGCTAATCGATACCGAGTGGTACATCTTCCACAATATGATTCAGTAATGTTCTATTCTATATTGTTAAAATCACTCAACGCAATATATTTCGAAATAAGAGGTAAGAATAAGCTATGATATAATCTGACACTAGATTAGGGAACTTTTAAACTCCACTGTCGCTGACATTTAATACGAAACCCTCCAAATACCTGTAGTCTATCATCGGATGAAATGATGGATATCCCAAACTAGTCATTTAAAATCTTATTTTGGTTGATGATGACTAGTAGTGAAGTCCAGAACACTCACTTTGTCCAATTCGGGACTAGTCAAGTGAATGGTGTCCCCTCTGGAGTTTCGACCCTGCACTCATCGTTTCAAATGTCGAAGCATTATACATTGGGCTACGAGAGCCACCTCTTTTGAAAAGCGTGTCTGTTTTCATTGCTAAAATCTTTTTGGATTAATTCGCATTTCCTGTTGACTTATCATGTTTTTTATTCTTTTTATGGTAATTTAAAAGCCCAGTATACACAGATATGTTCTGTAGTGGGTGATTTTTGGTTTAAAGAGGTAATTGTGGAACTTATTCAAAAATATACATTCGATAACATCATGAATAATAAAATTTTGGTAAAAGTTAATTGCTTTTATCAACAACAGTTTAAATTCAGGCACATATTTCAACTTCGGTGTGGATTTTATCACAGACCAGAAAGCTAGAGAATCACTGAGAAACAAGGAGTACAAGACAGCTGCTCTAGACTCCCGAAACGAGGACAAAAAGACAGTTCATTGCTTTTAGATTTTCACTGTTAATCTAACTGCTGTTGGTTTGTGATGAAGTCTACAGTGAAAAAGATCATATCCCTTAAAATCCTACAATCAGATATGTTTCAACTTTAGTTTTACGCCTTATTATGAACTATTATGTTTCATTACTCAGTAGCTACTAAACAGTAATGCCTTGTTTTGCAGTGCCTTACAATACACAATCCTGAATTTAGACAAAGCAATAAGAAGGCATAATTTATCTGAATTATGTAATATATCTGTGCAACACATTTTGAACAATCTCATAAAACACGACTTGTCGTTGGAACTTATATATGAAATTAATAAAGAGTTAAGAGGTGAGAAAATAAATTTAGGTCAAGTGAAAAGGACATATTGAGGGTCAAAATAACAATGAAGATCACTATACCAAACAACAGCGGTTATAGTGCTTGTGCTTAGGTATCAAAACAAAGTTTACCAAGGAAGGTTTAGTGTGATGAATAATTGTTTTTGAACCCATGTTCTACAGATAGGTTTAAAAGATGTGCAAATGTCAGTTTTATGTACTGTCTCTATAATATGTTTCTCAATAGAGGAGCCAGGTCTCCTGTTTTCAGCATTATTGGGTTCTGGGGATTCCATTTGCTTCTGGAGCCATTCAGGAATATCTTCTGAAGCTTTTATTTGCAGAGATCGATGGGTGCACCGTATGTATATGTGTCCACAAGTAAATTTAATTTGGTAAATACAGTGAGATGTGGTATCATTTTCCGCATTTTACAAGGGCTTAGATGGATATATTGGCTTCAAATTCTCAATTACTCTTAGCTCAGCTGCATGAAAAGCCTTTCTAACCACAGCGTCCAATCTCTGTCGAGTTAGTAAGCTGGTGTGTTCACTCATATATGGAAGCTTGGTGTAACGATTACTTTATGTCGCCTTATGAACTTGTCTGGATAATTATTATCAACCAAAGTTTGTGTCACCCTTCTTTCTTCCTCTTCAACTGTGTCTTCAGTGCATATTATTGAAGAGGCGCCTTAATAAGGCGCTTTTGTAACGAACAGGGCTGGAATTGTGATAATTAAGATACTGCCCTGTCCAGGTATGTGTTCTGTAAGTAGATTTTTTATGAATCCATCAGGCCGTCGAACATGTAATATATCAAGGAAAGATAAACAATTATCTTTCTCTTCCACAGACGTAAATGATATGCTACTTTGAACTTCATTCATTCGATCTAACATTGAGATGACAGAACAAGGCTTATCACTTATGATTACAATGTCGTCTACATATCTTCTCTAAAGTGGTACATTTTCAATTAAATCCTCTTATAAACTCTCAATGTGTGACATATACCTCCTAAAAGAGGCTCTAGCGGACTTCCCATAGCATTATCATCAACCTGGCGTAATAATCGCCTTCAAACGTAAGCCCAACACTGCTAGTACATAAAAGTAATAAATCCCTTAAATAAGATATAGGGAATGGGATGAAAAAATTATGTGTGGAAATATAAACACACAAAAGGTCAGTTGTTTTAAGTAAAGGCACATTGGTGAATAAAGAGTTTGCATCAAAAGAATACATATTTTTATTCATAATATTAATTTGATCAAGACAGTTAACCATTTTAAATGTACCTCTTAAAAAATACTTACAGAATTGTGTTTTGACTGGATGCAATAATTCTACTGACGATTTAGCGATTTTATGTTTTGGCGTGTACATACTGACAATATAGGACGTAGAGGATTATTGGGTTTATGTGTTTTTGGTAAACCATGCATATGCGGGAATTTGCATTTTGATGGTTTTAAAGAGTCAAATATATCTTTACTTATAGTATTTAGGCCAAGAAGCTTCACCGGATTAGCTGTCACTGTGCTTTGCAACAAGTGAATGTCTTCTGAAGAGGGATCACGGCTAAATTAGCTTTCATCATCAAGAATAGAAACATTTTGGATTTTTAGTCACTTTCGTTCATGATGACGATTCTGGAACTTTTTTAAGTTTCTTAATTGTTATATTAAGGTTTTCCCATAGCTCTTTACAGGCTCTGACATGCTGGGAAGATAAATTGCTTTTCTCCTTTGGATTGTTGTTCAAAAACTGGTGAGCTATATCGACCATCTTGACTTCAAACCAACCCCGATCTTCATCGTATGTTGCGACAAGAGGTTTGAGTTGATCATACAAGTTTTCGGATTCACTATAGATGGATAAATCCGTAAATTTTATGCCAGGAACACAAAAATTAGGTCCAAGGGATAAATCTTCTTTCTGATGAGCAGATAGAGTAACATCAGAAAGATTTGTAACGTACTTATCAGGATTCACCGAAAAGAGGTCTACGCAGTTTCTATTATCAATTTTGAATTTGTGATAAATCTCTTATCGTTCATAATTGTAAGTTTTGTAGTGAAAGTACCAAAGCTGTGAATTAATAGCTTTTGTTACTATATAATGTTCAAATCCTAATGTTTGACAGAATGAAACACAATTCAGATAGACAGATAGACGTCTGCCAACCAAAGTTAGTAAAACCAAGGTTAGTAAATTTACAGATATTTAAATTAATAATGTATTCTGATAACCTTATTGTCGAAGTGGCATAATAAACTTACTGATCTCTAAGTCGATAATTCTCTCTATGTGTTTCAGCGGCATCAAATTCATTTTTATCTTCTGTATTTACTTTGGAATATTTTGATGTATTAGATTCGTATGTCTTGGGAGAAAATGTGTTAGAATTTGGCGTCTGTGGTCCAAGAGTAAAACCAGTGAATACAGTGCCAGATCCAAGAAGCGGTAAAAGTCGAAGTTTGATTGCACTAGCACCTCCATAAAGTCCTCCTTGATAAGAGAAAAAAATCTGAGTTAAATTAAACCATACTACATCAAATTAAATCAGACAATTTCTAATCTGTCTTGTAAGAAGTGAAATTTCGGCAAATTGTTTTTCAAAATGCTCCCGATTCCTCAACAACTCTTTCAGTTTTGGCAGCAACATAGATAGAAACTTGATAATGAGTTTCAGCTGAAGGCTTTGTGAATGGTTAAACGTTTTTTATCCAGCTCATGAGACCTTTAAAACATATTGACATATAGTGAAATTATCAAACTACTCATTAAATTTAGTAAAGCATTCGGTTTATATCTTGATACATCCAATGCTCATCCCCCGAAATGTCCAGTATTTGTGCCACCCGCAATCGCTTTCACTCTCTGAGGTTTCATCCTTCTTCACAGTATTCATTTTTAATTACTAGTATCTAGTCCCATGACGCAGTACTTTCTTGAACGAAATTTTTACAGTAACTCAAAATGTCACAGAAACATTTGAAGACATTATTTATTGGCTGTTGTCATTGTTGTTATTGTTCATTAAATTGGTATTTGATTACGATAACTAACTGTTATAAACGAAGAAATTTTGTCTAGGGAACAAACTTTTCTCATGTCATAATACACTTATCTTCAGCAAATATCCTTTTGTGACGAATTCTCTATCAGCTTCAAAACAAAAACACTTTTCGAGACTCAGATATGTGCTTTAGATGGTATAGTTTCTGGATTTTCATCGACTTTCCACATAACTACGACCATTACTACGACTACTAACATAAACTTCCAAAGCAAACACACTTGAGAATCTTTTGACATGACGCTTACTAGCCTTCAGTAATGATTCTGAAAACGGTTTGTTTTGGTAATATATGAACAAGTATTTCGGCCATTTACCTTTTAAATTCTGTTCTTACCGTGGTAATGCTTGATATATTGGTTTGCTATCATTGCAAATATTGACTGTTACAGCACTTAAACATATTAGGTCTCATCATTAATATGAGTTCAACTACGTGGTTTTATCCAAATTTTTCTACCTTGTTTCATATTTTTATAATTAAATAGGCTAGTCAATTGAATTCGTATTTTATGGTTCATTAGGCTAGACAAAAGTAAACTAAATATCTAGAGCTTACATAGATCATTTCTTATTGTCTATATAATTCCTAAAGGTGACGTAGAAGCTATCATGAATTTTGGGGATTTATGTTTTCCTTTCTTCATTTTACCATATTTTGGTATATTTTTTCCCAGTAACCTTTTAAGTCATACAAAAGAAGCTGAAATAAGTTGAATGTTTGGCGAAGAATATCCTACATATCATAAATAAAGTTACTACACTTTATTTGGCACAAAGCGTTATGGAAAACAGTTTAAATGCCGAAACAGTAAACAGAGGTTATCGGAAAGAAGAATTATGAGAGATAATGTGAGAGATAACAGACAGCGAATGCGTCTGCATTTTTGGAAACCAGTTTTGAACTGTGTCGTTAATTCTCAGCGTATTGGGACCTTAATCAGACATTTCATACTCCTGAAGGTGGCTTATATGAACAGTTAATGATATAATGGACTGATCTCAGTTTTTTAATTGACAATCCTCAACTCGTCTCCAACCCAGTCCTACGTCAGCTAACATTGTCCAATCAATAAATCTATGGCTTTGTATTTTATCAGCAATAACTGCTTCAAATAAAAAGGTAGATACTATATTATAAGCATCACGCAGTGTGATGAATTTTGCTTTGAATTCGGAGCAGAATAAGAATTTATAACAGATATTCTCCGTATGTCGTTTAAATTATTTTCTTGACGGTAATAGAAAGACCAAAATAATTTAAATCAGGGCTGCAAAGATTATTTGTAATGACAGACACTTTTGGACCAATCGAGGTAAACTGAGATATCTCTTTAAAGGAACAGTGTTTGTACCAGAAGCCAAATATTTCAGACAAACGCGTGAATATTGCCATATGCTTTTATCCTGATTCGTTTTCACTATGACTGACTTTCACTGTGTAATTTGATGTGTTTTGTTCGTCCTAAGGGTTACTGAGTTCATTTGTTATGCTAGTTCATAAATGTTAAAATTTCACTGTTCTCATGATTTGTGGAGTGATAATTCTTATTAAAATACATGAGGTGATGGAATTTCAGCATATCCAAATGGAACCACGGTTATTTTGCAAGCAGGAGGCCATATGGTAAAGCTTAAATAGGGTCTCATAAAGTTGAAATATCAACATCTATAGCGTGCATATATATACATATACAAAGCAGTAAAGTTATTGTTTAATATTTGCATGGATGCATTCACACTACAATGTAGCGTAGGTTAAATTTGTTTGAATAACAATGGTTACTGCAAAGTAAATCACATTTGTGATTGATGTAATAGGTGTTTAGAAACAAAAATAGTAATAATAATACCTTCCGATGCACAAATGCTGATTAAGCGGAAAAGCTGATTCTGTATTCTTGCATTGAGCTCAATTATCTCACAACCCATCGCCACATTTTCGTCACAGGTATTTTTCTGCAAGTTTTGATTAAATTATCACATTAAGACTACTTTGTATGATGAAGCCCAACGTTCAAGATTTTCGTGAAGTATCAGGAAAGCAGCAGACTTAGCTAATTGATTTAATGATTCTGACATGATTATGTATCCCTAACAACTAAAGGTATTCAAAAACTGTGAAATGTGCAGAATCCTGGGATTAAATAAAGATTACTAATAGATAAATTTAACCTACCTAGTACGAATGTGTATATAATCATAAATCACGATTCCCTATTTGACTGCCCGAGAAAGACTGTAAACATGCGATCCAAGCATGTAAATAAGATATCGACAACGAATTATTGCAGTGAATTAACTTGTGATCGCCAATAACCAAATGAAAGTCTTTCTGACAAAAAATTCTTTATACAAACATGGATTTTGAAAATTCACAGTTTTATGACATTAGCAATGACCTTGAGCTTAGTACCAACAATGTAACCAAACATCTCTTCCTTCCATCGGATTTCCAACACATTATTCCAGGTTGTTTACTTTAAGAAGTTACTACTTTTTGGAACTGAATTCTAATGGTTTTTATTTGTCTCACATACGAAGTGCTTCTCACTCTTGGCTATTATAACTTTTTCGAGAGGGTTCAAATGGCATTGAAATCCAGCTATTAAAATTCTGCAACCTAGTAAGCGCCGTGTGCGGGCTACACTAGTTAATTTAGGACTGCTGTATAGGTTGGACTGAGGCAGTGACGAGACTAGGGATAACAGATTTCTCCAAAAATCTCATGGTTAGCCTGATAAGCTCTCAAGGGAAACTGATACTAAACTGGTTGAAAATAATCCACTAAGTGAAAGGTACGTCAGAAGGATTGCTTATAGCACAAGAAAGTCAGCAAAAGCACGTACACATCCATCAGAAAGAGAAAATGTAGGGAACGTATCTAATGAACTTGAAGCCATAACAAAAAATTACAATGACTTTTGAGATGTTGAAGTCCAGGAAATCGATTAAGATAGTTGTACGGCTCCGTAGAACTGGTCTCCAATAAAGCATGTTGTTTTGAGTTAGCGTTCTTACATTATTGGTGTAGCAACGGAGTGAGGGAGGAAAGAGCATTAGCTCACTACCTTCGTGCTGCCCTCTGGTGATTAGTCCTGTTATTATTGATCTGAGGGATCCCTTGGTAAGCTGGCGCTAATTTCTTGCAGACTGTACGTCATCGCTTCCGTAACTTAACGTAATAATTTTAGTGTCCCTCCAGTGCACTCATTTTAGTGTTGGTGAGGCAATGACAGTATGGACTTAGGGTGGCCTTTGAAATGGTTCCTGCTACTGCATAGCGCCCAGGTGTATCTGCTGTCAGGTGCATACGTAAATGAAAAGGTGGAGCATGTGGCTTCGGTTGAGTCCTTCATAAAATTGGCGTTTATGTCTGATTTGTATGCCAGAAGAAGTCTGAAGATGCACTTCATATGCTAGCGAGGATTCTGCACCAGCATTATGCAAGTGCTCCTTCCTCCAGTGCACCGACAAACATTATTCGACATATATTATTGTTGACAGGTAGCCCGTTTTACGCGATCCATTTGTGCAGCTATGCCAAATCTTTTTATAGCTTGTTCGATTCTTCTTTGTTTATCGTAGCCCTCCACAGCTCACCATCGCACCCATAAAGAAGAGTTGAATAGCCTAAAATGTGGCAGATCATTTTTCAAGATCGAAAGTAACAACAGACCTCGAGTCATCCTTGCATTAGCCTTCCCATTTTATTCCCCTACATGAAAATTACATTCTACTGTGGATAGGATAGAATGCGAGGGAGCAATTGCTTTCCGATTCCTATTTTGAAGACCTCTCAGGACAGGACTTGTGGTTTTCGAAGCCAAGGGTTTACTAAAGGTCAAGTAATATACCATAGAATGGAATATTTGGCCTCGGCTTGCTGTCGGTCGATCTTTAATGAAACCATATTGAGCTTCGTGGGGCATGCAGTTCAGATATAAGATATCCTATGATGTTGCCGTCAAGCAGGGTTTCAAAAAGCTCTAGTGCTGTTAGCGATTGAGCCACACGTTTATAAGGGTTGGGGTTCTGTGGATTACCTTTTGAAGGGATGGTATGTAGCAGTAAATAATTCCCAAAATCACTGATTATAGGAATCATCAGTGAACATTCGATGCTGACCCTTAGTGTTTAAGTCGACTTGTTTAGCTGAAGGCTTCCGGTCAAGCATCCTCGTCATTTGGTACTCTGTCGTGTCGCTTCCGTGCACGATAACTAGCCAGCCTAACTTCCGCTTCAGTCAGAGATTTGATTCCGAAATATATCTCGTAGTTTGGACAATCAGCTGTGGTCTTTTGCTTTGGCTTTGGCACACGAGAAACGAATACTATAGAAGTTGTTGATATAAGATCTTGCGTTAATATACTCCGTACAATTTGCGAACGTCTATACCGTCTGCCTCTAAAAGTACATTTCCTAAACTTATTATTTTTATTTTTGATTTCAGCTTGATTCCATACTTCATTTTTGGTACAAGTGTGTCATTTTCACCATGGATATCGGTAGCCCAAATTTTGCAGGCCAGGCATAGATTTAGGTGTGCGTCGGCAGGGGATCGAACCACGGACCATGTGCATAGTCGGTGAGAGTCCTAACCACTGTGCCACCGATGCACATATTTAAGCCCTTTGGAAATGTTTGAGCTCACTTTCCATTGGCTTCTACTAAAAATGGCTCTAATGACTGATGTGTGGCTGTCTGTCCTGCTAGGCATTAAGTATTGCCACACCACCCTCCTGCCCACTTTAGCAGGTGACCAGACTTTTATTAACCCCGTCCCAGCTAGTGAAAGGATTATCGAAAACTCGCGGCTGCTCAAACATATAATTATTAATGGTGATATAACGAGAGCATGGAAATACACAATCACACCGCAACATAGCCGTCAACCTGCTGTCACTCGAAAATCAAGTTGTCAACCATGTGTTTCAATCTGCACGGATAAACAAATGACAGAGGTTCAATTTTCTTTTTCTTGACGATTCGCTTTGATCCCCTAAACCCTCACAGTCTTCCTATATACAGTGACGTTGTTTGTTCTGGACCGAATCCTATATGCCTCTAATTACCCAGCAGTTTGTGCTTCATGGAGTTACCAGTATCACTGGGATGATGTAGACAGTGAAGTCTTCGATTACTCCCCCTATTCAACCGCAGTGCGCGTTCACTGTCTTTTAATAATTCAGTCAGCCGGTAAAACTGCTGATTGTTTGTGGTCCACACTACACATTCTTTACGAACAGATGGTCGTCTATGCGGTGGAAATCTTTCTGAGAATGTGAACCGTTCACCAAGTTCATGTGTTGTTGCTAATGATTTCATAAAATTCAGTAGTCAAGACAGCAAGTAGATGTCTACGAAAGGCCCATTTGTCTGCATGTCACTTTCTGATGACGGCAAGCCATGTATAACAGTCTCCACTCTTGATGACCTTGTTAAGCTCCACAGTTCGGACCATCAGCATCGCTTTGATCTTTTGTTACCTGCGATTCAGCCCGCATGTTGAACGTTTTTGAACCTCCCTAGTTAGTAACATAGCGGTACCTGCTGTCAAGCGGCAACCAAATGACTTCATGAATATGATCCGTATAGCATTATGTACTTATCCTGACCGGAGTTTGCCTCTTCTGTATACAAAAACTCTTCAGCTACCTCATATTTCTAGGTCCTATTAGCATATTACCTCTTCAGATGATTGTCTCTTCACAGCCTTCTATGCCGCGTGTTTGTCCTGCAAGTTTCAGAACTACACTAGATAGCCGGAGATACGGGCACTTGTGCTTCAGTCAAGCCATCTTTTTTAGAAAACCTTTTACAATTCAGTAGAGCTGTCCGCAGTTTTCTCTCAGTTATTTCGGCGTAGTTGCGTTCTCTAAGCTGGATGATATAGTTGTGAGGGCTTCACTGTCTTACTAGACAACATGCTCAGGATGAACTTCATTATGAATTAAGCTTTTGAAATTCCTCATGAGTTTATCTGTCACCTCTTCGGGTAACACTTAACGTAACTGGTTTTCGTTTGTTCTCACACCTACCCGTCTGTATGTGTAGAAATTGTTGCCATGACTTGCAAGTTGATCTATTGACCTCTGACAACTTATCGTTTAGTTGCAGACTTACCTGAATATCAGACTTCTAGAAAGTCTCTGCCGTTTTCGTCGTTTCCTCTACCGAAAATTAGAACAGTGACTCAATAAAATTGTGGTTCGTGGTTGTTTGCATGCATCTATATCCGACTCCGATTGATGTGCTGGAATACCTCGGCGTCTTCGCATTCTAAAATATGCTATTCTAAAATATCCTATTTCGAATTGACGCCCTAAATTGGCTATTATGGAGGATGGTCATCCAAAGTTCGCGATCAGTCGCTCGACAAAGACATGTGCGACTGTTTCAGTAGATACACCATTGAGCGGTACTGCTTCAGGCCTCCGTGTAAAACCATTAATTCAGGTCATGATGTGAGTATATCCATGAGGTTCTAGAGGGTGGTCCAACCAAATCCACATGGACGTGTTCGAAACGAGAATCAGGGTTGAGAAGAGTGCCAAGAGTGCTTTCGGTGTTTATTACTACATTGCAATTTTTGCAAGCTAAGCACGGATGAGCCCGTTCCGTCACTTCCTTATTAGTACCAGTCTTACAGAAACGACTAGTTATGAGCTTGACGGTAGTTCAAATACCTAGGTGAGATAAGCCGTGCAACGTATCGAAGACGTTACGGTGATAGCGTTTAGGCAAGATGGGGCTAATAGTACTTGTGGAAATGTCACACAGAATAGTATCTCTTCCTATACATAAAGGTTCACCGGCTAATTGCAGAGCTGTTTTCAACAACTCATGTTGAAGCTGGGTATCTTCTTTTTGGGATACGACCAGTTTTACGAGGTCTTTGTGGTCTATTTGGGTGAGGGAACGGATGCGCGACAAGGCATCTGCCATAGTGTTGCTCACCCCGGGTACATAGCGAATATCCGATGCGAACTGTGTAACTTAGACCAGTTGTCGTGGTTGTCTGGGTGAATACTTATTTCAAGTTGAGTTCAAACAGTACGTCAGAGGTTTGTAGTCAGTGA